GAAAACAGGGTTTCTGAGGGTACCTGCTAATATAAATAGATTTGGTGGTTTTTTAATTTATTTCAAAGGCAAGCATTTTATTTGTTGGAATTGGAATTTTAATACCTAATTATGTTTACTGTTTTTATTGCTTAAACTGTCAGTGCTGGGATCCATGGTGTCTTTTTGGTTTGCAGAACACCACAGAACTAATGAAAATATTCATGTTGCACAACTTAGCAGACAGTAATAAAGCAGTAAATGTCTGAAAAACCAAAACCTAAAACAGTCGTAGCAAGTTTGTGAAACATGGGTTTTTCAAAACAAAATAAACAATATGAAACCTCTGCAAAAATAAATGCTGCAAAATTGACTGCAAATAAGGTCATAACTGTCTAAACTGAAACCTGGCTTTAACACCCGTTGTGACAAAAGTGAAACTGAGTAACACAACTGAAAACAAACTAATATTCTAGATTGCAAATCAGATGTTTAAGACATCATTTTGGCATCACTTCACTGCTTTTTCATAAGAAAGGGCAAGCTTTGTAAATAACTACTGATTAAAGTGGCTTCTTACTTAAACAGTATTCAAAGTAAGACACAACGAAGATGCCACAATGATGGAGTTCTCAATTATATTACAATAAATTTAGCGGGTGTTATCACAGTTATAGAATTCTTTACACTGTGATAAGATCAAAATAATTGATTGGTGTGCTTTCTGCTGAGAACCTGAACAGCACGAGAAAGTATGTATCTGAATGTTAACAGTATGCAGAGGAGTGGCATTTACATAAAGATCCCCTTCCACTGGCCGTTTACCTTTGGAACGATAGTATGTGATAGTTTGCACTGGCTTCACAGAAGCAAGTAAAGCAATCTTATCGACAAAGCACCTCATGACGAATATCACTTTGTACCCCAGACAGTATTTAGAGGACAGATTTTATTGTCAAAAATTCCAAAATACCACATATCGTTCACTGCTTAGACATTCAAAATTTTTACTGAAATCCACATACTTTTCAAGCTAGGGTGGAGCTGAAAGGAAAATATGAAGCTGATATTTTTATTATGTAAACTTAAGGCTCTCAGCCTTTTGTATCAGTGAACCATTTGAGCTGTGATCGTTAGGACACATAAATGTCGCTATCCAAGAGGTAGAGATTGAGAATATTAGCAAATTACAATTTAGAGGGACCTAAACCTGACATTGGCTTTGGGTCCAAATCTCAAAAAAATACTTGCAAGAGAGTAAGACAGACAATTCCATGTAATACAAAAATCTATGGTCTTATTAGCAGAGATGCAAATTTATAGTATAAAGCCTACTTAAATTTTAAAGATTTTCTAAAAGAAGCTGTACTGCATATTCATAAAACACTACACATTTTACAATCTGTAAACTATTGATGCAAATATTTATATCTGAAATACAAAAAAAATCAAACTTTAAACTTTATGAAGATATATCACACAATATACACATTTATCTAAATGACCACATCAACACTGTTATATGCAACTTACTGACTCAGCTCACATATTTGGTAGATATTAATAAAATCTATATTTTGGTACATATTTCTTTAAGATCTTCATTTTTTGTGAATGCAAAAAAAGTCAGCAATACCACCCAAATAGCTAAAAACTTTTGCAATATTATGCAGGTCACTTCTATGAGAAGAAATTAATCACTCTTTCCTCCACCTTATGCCGCCGAAGGTGGCACCACAGGCAACAAAACCCTACTCTTCAAAAGCAGATGAAAACTGAAGAAATCCAAAGAAAAAGACTTCGAGAACAAAGGAGAATCTAGGACAGGTTAAATGTCTGTCTTGTAAATGAGACCAGTGGTTAACAAAACAAGCTTGAGATGATGACATAAATCCTGTTTAAGCACTGGATAGCAGCTCAGGCCTTGAAAGGTATGGGCTCAGGCTGAAAGCAGAAGCTCCAGAACCGTAAACTAGTCACTAATGGCCAATTAACGGTCACGGAAAAAAAGCACAACCTCAAGCACTGGGAAAAGACTGCTTTTACATTAAGAAAAGACGCAGCAGCTAAGCAAGTGAAAAACATCCACCTGAAGGCACTGCTGTGGCCTGGGGGTTTAACATCCCCAGAAGGATTTTGTATCATATAATCTAGGGATAGACAAGATGGTCAGCAACTGTCTAGAAACTAAACCATTTTATGAAAGGGTAAGATCCCAAAGTGGCTGTGGGGAAAGGAAGAGAAGATGGTAGAGAAGAAAAAAAATGCCCATTTCAGTTCTAACTTCTGTTGCAGAAGAGCTCTCGAGTTTGTCCATGTCATCTTATCAACTAATACCATCGCTGGTAGCCATCACTGACAAATCTACAGTATCAGCTCTGAGGGATTTTATATTCACATCAAATTTAGGACACAGATGTTAAAGACTGATTTCTTTGAATATGCAGTTGTAGTCACTGCTAGTAAGAACTAATTTGTGGTGGTAATGAGAAATGAGGCATACGTGTAAGCTATTAGCAAAACCAGTGCTGTTAACGATTGTCAATCCAGTAAAGTGGGGTTGATTTTTTTAGTTTGTTTTGGTGGTTTTTCTGGGTGTTAGTGATTTGGTGGTTTTGTGTTTGTTTTGTTTTTTTTGTTTGTTTGTTTTTTTTGTTTGGGGGGGGCGATAGTTTGTTTGTTTGTTTTTAAAAAGTTTAAAAGAAACAGTTAAGAAACTCCAAGTGGTGTATAGCACAGTGATACACAGGCATCCCTACCTTTCAGGACATTTTCAGTTAAAAAGCAATGTTACCAAAAAATGAAGAGTGGAGATATAGAGCACACTATGATGTGTACACTGAGAGGGGAAAAAAAAAATAAATCTTGAAACGCCAGTTAGGACATATACTCTAGTCTTTTTCTTCAAGCATGTACCTGTTTGAATCCCAGAAAATAATTTCTGGGATGGTGACATCAATGAGTTTTCAGCTACTTCATTCAAGCAATAATTGAAATAATGTTGCTACAAATCCAGCATCTGATCTAGTCACTGTATAAAGAAATTATATGCAGCAAAAATCAGCTACTCCACAGTCACACTCAAGGTGAGTGTTTTGGTATTTTGACAGAGGGACGACCTGGTTACAAATTTGTCAGCACATCAGATGTAAACATTTTGTGACTGATTTACAGATTCTTAATGAGAAGACAGCCTTTCAATGAACTAGTTATAGCTAATAAAAAAAAGAGAGGAAAAAGGAAAAAAAAAATTTTTAATGTCTATGTTACTCTTCCATCCAAATCAGAGCAACATTATGCCTCTTCAATTAGTAAATACAGTTTTTATAAGAATGCCAAAAAAAACCCCAAAAAGAAACCACCACAAAAACCAAATCCACTTTTCATATTGTTGTTGCTGTCCTCCTTGACAAACAAATCTACCACAGGCGCTTTCCACTGCCAGAATTTGGGTTTTCTAATAGACTTTCAAAACTATGTTGCAAACAAGTACAAGAAACCTTACAAGGAGCTCTGCAGAGCAAAAAACAACTCATCAGTGGCCAGTTTAGTGAATATCAGACTCTAGGACATTTATAGCTTCAGGTGATTCTAACATCTTTTCCCATTTGCTGTTGCTTAGATCAGTCATTCCAGAGCAAGCTACTAAGAGACAAAGCAGCTATTTACTCAATGACGTAGCTGATCTGTAGATGACAAGTACATAGCTCCCCACTACGTTAGCTGAAGCAGCAGGTTTAACTACCCGAGGCCTACATACACATGCAGGTATATGACTCAGAAGTCCCTAACATTGGCACCTGTATTCTGGAAAGCCTGAACATGACATTATGAAGAACAGGACTTGAGAGGATCATTAATTTTCCCTGAAAGACTACCATTTCTCCATCCAAAGCACTATCAGTCACACATACAACACGTCTGAGAGAAGACGTATATCTAACCCCTTTTGAAACACTTGCGACCATGCATGAATATAGATACCATTTTTACCCTTTCCTATTCTTCTGCAGCCTCCTCTGTCTTCTGTGAGCTTTAAAAAGATTATCACTGGTAGTTTTCTGATTGGGTCTTGAATTTACTTCCAAGCAATTAGAAGTTCTTTGTTCAGAGGGCAGTTGCCTGGCATCTCATCTTAAGAGAAAGATCTAGTCTCGCACCTTAAGCCATGGATGTTCTTTAGAAAATAAATCAAAGACTTTTGGTCTGAAGAATCTCTGAAACAAAACAGCCCTATTCTGGCTATCAGTGAAATGTGAAAGAGACAGATAATCACTGATGCCAAAGGTGCCGACCAGGGTTTGAGTGGGGAACTGTTTAACAAGAACTCCTCAGAAAAAAAAGTGAGAGTAGCTCACAATAATTTACACAGTAAGTAGTGTATCATTCTGAAGCATTCCAGAAGCTCAGTCTGGGATAAAATTTGGCAGTATAGAGGATCATCAGACATTTTTTTTAGTAACAGAGAACTCAGTGTCTGCCATCTCTTTTGGTACAAAAGACAACACAGCATAAATGAGTAACTTCAAAAATGTATGGCTGAGGTTTCTTCTAATGAAGAGGTTTCTTCTAAGTGTTTCAATATGGACCTATTGAAATAACAATTGACATACTCAAAGAAAAATCTAGATTACTTCAGGAAGGGCTTATTCTTATAAAAGAACGAAAATGAATATGTAATCTTAGTTATAAGAAAGAAAATGGCTTTGTGATTTGGAAAATGTCTGTTCTCAGGTAACGTAAGGGGTTCTGAGCATAACTGAACTACTTGGTCACACAAGGTTCAGTATATTCTAATGGAAAAATACAAAGCAGCATTACGTATTCTAAAACAGCTTGAGGAAAACAGGTAATTAGAGAAGCTCATTAACAAAACAAAATTTAGGAACCTCTTTGGTGTAAACTTTAATCGGTGGAAATAATTTATTTTGTCTATTCACATAGTGCATTCAGGTGATGAAAAAATAGCAGCTTTATTTCCAGTAAAATGCTAGGTAAAATGCATTTTTTACATTACTTACCTGTTTTCATTTCTAACAAGCACTTTTTCTTTTGTTGCCTCTCTTGTTTTTCTTTTTCTGCTTTCTCCTTAGCTATTCTAGCACGCCTCTGTTTTTCTTCTGCTTCCCTTTTTCTCATATTCTCCTTTACTGCTTGCTATGAAAAAAAGTAATGTACAGTTCCATTAAAACTGAAGTCTTAGCAAAAACAAAGCTGAACCTTAAAAACAAAGAAAAAAAGCTTTAAAAACACATCTCATAACTTACCTTAATTTATCAAGCCAAATAAACATTTTCCATTCCATACTGAGTATATTTTATCCAGAAGAGCAAGCAAATTCAGAATAGATATATCAAAAGCATACTAATTGTCCCCAAATGGGGATTATAAATTCAGCAAGAAACACATTTTAAGAATATACACATTAATGTAGGAAAAACTCAAATATCTAAACCACCTGGTCTTACAAAACTGTAAGTATGTTACTATCTGCATTTCTAGAATAGTTTCAACATTTATTCTTTCTCTTGCTGCCACTATACCAAGCAAAAGAAGGATGTTTGGGTGAGTTAGCTGTGCATTTTTCTTATTCTTATCCACATATGCATTAATTCACTGGGTTTAGAAATTCTTGACTTCTGGTTAATATCCCTAAAACTTTGTTTATTTTGAAGTATAAATAAGTACTCCAAAGCTTCCGATGAAGGCAAAACACAAATATGAGTTTCAGTTTTTAAATTATTATTTCGCATATTCAGACATTAAGCCAAAAACATGTGTCACATTCAATATTTTTTTAACTCAGCTATTTTAGGATTACCTTTTCATTTTTCTTAGTGTTAGCTATGTACACTGCTATATTCTCAATACTATATTCTCATTCCATACTATAAAGCACAGGTTAATGTGGGTTACAGCAGTATTTGCACGGGTACCATTTGTAGCATCACTGCAACAGTGAGCAAAGGAAGGAAAAAAAAAAAATCACATAAATCTTGTGAGGAGAAACCTGTCTTTGATAACTGAAGAAGAATAAGCTTTCAATCATGAAAAATTATGATTAAATGGACTTTACAAACAAAGCAAAACTGTACTTCCGCAGTGTCTTCTCCAGAGTCCCCTCTGTCAATTTTCTTGATGCTGTGGGAGAAGCCTATTACAAAATGCTAAAACTGTGGACTGAATTAATTTTAACAAATTATTTGCTCATTTTCAGACTGGGCATTCTGTAAAATAAACTGCTGGACAAAACTCAAATGGGACTCAAGCACAACTACAATTTTGGCAGAAATTACACACTTTCCTAACCGAGTAACCAAGGAAATCTCTGCTTTGCATCTACTTTTTCCCCAAGAACAATACCAGTAGGAGTCAGCCTCAGACTGCAGTCATCCAAATGTAGGTATCTATCCTTTCTAATCACAGTGATCCACTGGGCTCGGCTTAGTAGCAGCACACACCTTCATATTCAGTGCAAATTACATGCTTTGGAGTATCACACCTTGCCTCCAGCCCTTCCCTAGCAGGACACCTGTCTTCCATAAGTTCTGTGTCATAGCTTAAAGTTTCAGGCTGATGATGTCTTGGATACCATTTACGACACCCCTCCAGCATACTAGGTGCTTCTGTTGTTAGGTCTCCTTTGAGACATCAGGCAGACAACTCTCCAAACTCCACTAACTGTACTGCGCATGCATCTCCCTTGACTAGAACATGAGATTAGGCACTCCAGCTCACACACAGATGCCAGTGTTTAGAGGTCTGTGCCCTAAAGCCAAATCCTATCCTACATGTTTTGTGTGTTTTCAACACAAAATATAGGAGTCTAAAGTTCTGCAAAACATTTACACCAAGAATTGCCATAAACTTGACTGAGATGAACACATATGTGTCTCTCACACTGTCTGCATATCAAAGACTAAATGTCTTAACACTTCCTTGCTCAAAAGGAAGGTAGACACAGTTTGACCGCATCTGTTATATATGAGCATCACTGCATTCAGCTTACGGCACAGTACACAAAGTTAAATTTCAGAAGAATTACCAAATTATATGACTTTTGCATACCATACTAAGGCCCTGAGGTTCCAAGATGGAAGCACTCTTGGGTCCTCTTCTGCACTTTCCAGGATCATTTCTGATTTTTATTAAAGTATTTGCATAATATAAAAGAAAAATACTCTAGACTCTAGTGAGCAAACTCTTACTTGGCTGCTTTTCTTCTGGTTCTTTAAGTCATGTTTCTGCTGTAGAGCAAAGTAGTGTGGGAAGGAGCAAGAGGTTTCTATAGTCCTATGATTAGTGTACTGTCTTGGACATGACAGTTGTTGACTCCAGGCCTCTTCCCTATAACTGCAGGAAAATGCTAACCATTAGACAAACATAAGAATTTCAGAAAGCTATGCTTACAAGGAAAGGAATGAGCCTGCTAGCACTACCTCTGATGCCGTGAAAGCACACAAATAGGTTAACAGAGGTGTCATACCTAAGATGTTCCATTGACTGTAACAGGAATTTAGCTTTGGAAGTCAAAGCATTGAAGGTAAGCTGCCTCACTCATTTTCTGGATCTGGCCAACTAACTGTGCTCTAGATTTGGTGCTCAGAGAGCGTGAATAAAAGCTGTGACAGCCGCCAGATAACACTGAAGTACTCAGCGCAGTCCAAAGTTAGCTATGAACCTGAAGGCTGTGGCTCCAGATTTAAACCTGTTTTTTTAAATGTTGTAAACATTGCCATTAAGTGAGACCAGAAAAAAACCCCACATTATAAGTAGGTAAATACTGCATGTAAATTATCAACTTTGCTTGACAAGAAGGATGACTGAACTCCACTTCCCTACATCCACTGGTGACTTAAGCAGTCTTTTAAAAAGATGTGGGCTTTTTAAGAATCCAGTGATTTTTCAGCACTAAATTCAGAAGTCTTTTGAGTTAAATTTTCTAGGATGCCAACCACCTTCAGTTTCTATCAGTAATCCAGACCAATGCTAAACACTTCTGAAAATCAGACCTCAGGTGTCTCACACTAGGCATCTCAAAAATCTTTTCCAAAAAGTCTCGAAACTGAGCAGCTACTCAATATTTTGTTTAGTGTCATTGAATGATAAGGGGTTTCATGCCTTATCCACACACCTTTTTCATATAGCCTTCAAACTGCGCTCTGCAAGACAGAATTATTAATTTTCCTCAAGGTTTCTTCTATCATGCTCATCAATAATATCTGTTTCAAAGCTTTAATTAATCTACCTTTTATAACACTGCTGTGAAGCAGGGGTTAGTATCAGTGCTAATTTTACAGACACAGAAAAGAAATATGCGGAAATTAAGGTAAAGCACAACCACTTCTTTGAGTCTCCAATTCAAGATGAACCTAAGCATTTAGAATTCTTCTTATACAGCATTTAAATGGGAGGTGTGGTTTAAACGTCAGAAATTATAGTAATACAACTAGTTCAGAATATTTAGAAATTCTGAGTGAGTTTCAAATTAGGTGCCTATCAAGGCAGGACAACATAATCAATGCCCATGCTGAAAAATCTGGCAAACATAACCTGCCAAGTAAATTATTCTGATTGAAGACTGTGTCTTCTAGGTTTTCAGCTGTTAAACTCTGAAGTAGCAGAGGCTTGGTAGTCTTCATATGTTCCAATATGTTTGCTAAATATAGGTCCCATTTTAAGTCCTTTCCTCAAAATAGACAGACATAGGAATTTCAAACATTTTCTCAATATCTACAAAAAAAGTATTTTTCCCTATCTACACCCTCAGATATGCCTGAAATCATTGAAAAAAAAGCCAATCAAGCAAAACCAAATAAGACTGGGAAATATGCAAGCAACTTAAATGTGTTGTAATATAGGCATCAGGCTGTAATGAGGAGTAGATGGTAAAATGACTAACTGAATCTTTCTACAGATCAATAGGCATGAGTTGGATCACTGCTCCAGATTTTGTCACAAAGCTCATGCTCAGATAACATTCCTTCAGAAGTGTAGCCAGTAAGTTAAGCTACTTACTCGTAGGTAGACACATGAGACATATAATCAGCTTCAAACATATAAAGAAATACCCTGGTGAGAAATTTGTACCTCACTTTTCAGAAAGGTCTTTCATTAAAACTCTTAAATCACATTTTGGTAGAATTAAACAACCCCACACACACCAAAAAAAACCCACCCAAACCTCAACCCCTATTATTAAAATTTGTAAACATAATGAAAATGCTTTTGGACCCAAAAAATACCTAAAGCAAAATAAAATCAGATTTCCAAAATAGCTCAAGCTTTTATGATGAGCTAGTATGTGCAAACATTTGTATATATAATGCAGATGCTGCCCTGTGATACCAGGACAGAGCTAACCTCTGCATCTATGACTATTTTAGATGACTCTAAGGCAAAGCTCTGCTAATAACTAACAGTGAGTCTGAATTATGGTTATAAAAACATTCTGAGCTCTGTACAAAAGGAGCTACCCAACAATAACCTGGATTAGTCTAATGTCTGTTTCTTAAATATCATCAATATATATAAAATAATAAGCATTCCTAGTGCCTCCCCCCAAAGAGCACCCTTTTTACAGGTAAAAGAAAGTAAGCATTTAAAAATAAAACCTAAAATACTAGATAATCTATTCTCAGAAAAATTAAAGGACCTTAGAAACAGACTGAGTTTGAGGAAAAAATGCTATTTTTTTAAGGCAGGATTAGGGGCTCTGAGTTTCCATAGCAGGGAACCTGCTTACAGACGCAAACCTTGACACTCATCAAAGTGTTGCAGGCAAATGAAAAATTAAATGAAATAAAATCTTGGGTCTGGATTTTGCATGGGAATTGTGTGCATTATAAACATAGACTAATTGTTAGACTATTTTTAACTAAATAACAAGTGTCCTTTAAACAGAAAATGCAGTTGTATTTAAAAAAGGCAGAGCTTCAGGTTTTTACCCTTCAGGTTATACATACGAGAGGCTCAGTTTTAAACTGCATTCAATGTTACTATGAATTTCCAGTTCTTTCAGAAACAAATAATCCACAAATAATTCAAAACTCCTTTGTTTGTAGGATATCCTAAGAATTTAGGATGTGCAAAGTAAAATTTCTGATATGAGTATCAGATAGCATTTGAGGAGGAAGAAAATTATTTTTAGTTTGTTCAGTAAATGAAAGATTACAAAAATAATTTCTAAGAAACATTAAGCATAAAATAAACAGATTATACCATGAACATTGTCCTGAAGTTGTTTAAGTCCGTTAAAAACTCCTCCACCGAAACTTTCTTCAGATCAATGGCATAATATCCCATCACATTCTGATAGAGTTTTTCCATGTTCTCATGCATCCGTAAAAGTTTCTGAAAATCTTCTTTGGCATGAACTAGAAAGCTGTATGCTGCTGTTAAGGCTGCAAGTATACTCAGTGAATCCAGTCAAACCCATGTTTTTTACATTGATCTGTATTTCATACATATTTTTCATTTGCACCAAATGAAGCATCAAAAGAAATCCTTCCATGTCATATATACGTTCTAGTATTTACTGTGTATATTAGGGCTATGAATAAATTGGGGTGCTTTCATCAGATATTTTCAACCACTTTTAAATTTAAAGATTATTCCATTAGCATATAATTCTGTATGAAATGTATGGGACTAATCTAACCTCAGGCACCTATGTAGTTGATTTATTATCACTGTCTCCTTATTGAAGCTAAAGATTTAGGTATATAAATTACAATTTACATGGAATTTAGGTACAGATACCAATAACTAACCTGCATACTTTAAGATATCAAGAAATAGAATAGTACCTAATAAAATCAGAGTAAAATAAAAAATACTAATAAACCACAGTATTAAAAGTAAAAACCATTAAAGGTTAAAAACTTCATCTTATCAGCTTTTTTTTTTTTTTTTTAAATGCTGTTGTAGCAACCACAATGCATTCATTTCTGGTCCCGGTGGCTGCATCACGTATCTATGCTTTTTCTAAGGCTATTTGTAATGGCAATACAACTTCATTAAATTAGAGGTGAAAACAATAGAGACATAGACATTTCATACACAGCACTAAAACACTGCATTACATAAATTAAATAAAACCCCCTGTGTTTATTCAAGACTTTTGACAATACAGTTTGTCAAAGAAGCTCAAAGAAGAAATATTGCGTGTGGTCATTTCCTGACGTAGGACAACTTCATAAAGTGTTTACATTAATGGAATGGTAGCTAAACAAATATTTATGTTCCATTATTTTCCTGCTGCAGGAAAGACTACAAAAGAAAAGAAATTGCAGTTCTACCTCTACTCCCAATGACCTACCCCAACTATTGCAAAAGAGAATTTACTGATACATACACTATGGTCACTTTATTTTACAAAGCACAGGATTTTTAATCAGGTGCATTAAAAGCTAGACAAATAGATTTTTTTGTTCAACATGCTGTTTTGAATCTCATTTAAATGTCACTATTAAATGTCCTTCTGGTTTATCAATGTTGCTTTTAAAATACCAAGTAAGCAGTTAATGGTTTTCTTTTTGCAATTTAGAATCCATGTCAGAAACTCATATAATAATGTTCTCAGACACACGCAGGAAAGGAGAAATAATACACTTTCATAACATCCAAATTAGTCACTATGATGGCTATTAGCCAGGTCTCCACTCTCACAGTCTTGTAGAAAAGGACCAACTAAAGCCTAGATTTCAATGATTTTAAATGATACATCTTCCATCACCCCCCAACCACTTTATTTCAGACTTTCTCTTCCTCTGACAAGGCTCCTTAGCCAGTATGAGCTTCTTTCCATGTTTCTATTGACTTCAAACGATGTAGTTCGTGAGCAGCTTCAGACTGCCTGTGCTGACTGGCTAGCAACAGCTCAGAGAGAATTGATGTTGCTAGCCCACTTTTTCCTTCCATATCAGTTTGAATCTTTCTACTTTACTTAGCTCCCAAGAGGCACAAAGCTTACAGCGAACCACCCTCCAGAGTCGCGTTTCTTTAAAATTATTAAGGATGTTAAAAAGCTATTGGAGGGATAGCGAGTAAAGTTGGTGAGAGGTTACTATGTAACAGTTGCCCAAATATTAAATAAAAAAAGGATTATGAGAAACAAGACACGACAAAACACAAGTTAGGACCATCAAAAGAAATGTCAGCACTTCAAAAAAAACCAAACCAACCAAAACAATAAACAACTGTAATAAAGGAAAACAGAAAAACTAATGCTGAGTGAAACTAGAAACAAGAATTTCTACAGCTTGTTTATTTTTGATCCTACAATTTAGGATACTTATTATTTGTGATTCCTAGATCATTAACAGAACTTAAGGAAAACTGCACTATTTTTGCAATTATGAGGCTGTTTATTTCCACAGAGTGGAAGGGTAAAGGAAAATTAGATAAATTTGTTTTATTGTCACTATGTATAAATGCCACACAAACATTCCAGTAACCTTCTTCAGTATTCTAGGAAGGAAAAAAAGTTAAAAATGTCAATAAAATGTATACTTCATCTTGTAAATGAATGATCTGCCACAGTACATCCTGAAAAGGAAGCGGGGGCTGGGAGGGGGCAGTTTTACTATCCAGTATTTCAATGCTTCACTATCCAGTATTTCAATGCCAGACACGGTAAGTCCTGAGATTTTTATTTTCCATCTAGTGCATTATGGGATACCCTAAGCTCTTAGCATTCTACTGAGACTGTGCTTCAATTTAGATATTTTTAATAAGTCCTCTTTCTTTTTTCCTTAAATATGGCTTTTGTTAGCCAGCACTAGCTAAACTGGAGACAAGGGGGAATACTACCGAGTACAGCAATCCCAGCTGTAATTATTGTGAACAGGTTGATATATACGCATTATCAGCTACACAATTCATTGGCTTTGGATGAGTGAAGACAGAAGTACAGCAGTGCTGCTACACATGTGGGAGGCAAAGGAAATCAAGAAGTTAGGTATTTGTTAACTTTCTCTGAAGTGGCTTCACTTCACGGACTGCTTTTTGGACTCACAGGACTACAGATCATGAATCTGCTCATTAATGGAACAGGAAAGCAACGCAGGGCTGAGACGAGTAATATCTGTGGCAAAATTTCCAACTGCTGTCTGTTTTGTCTTGCATATTGATGGTAGCTCTTTTCATAATGAATTGTTTGTCTGACGTTTATACTGATTTTAACATATTGTGGTCTACAAAACACTAATATAGTGCAGAGCATCAAGTCAAGTAAAATCAACTGTTACCCTAGAACAGATAACGAATGATTCCAATCTGTACCAAACATTTCCTTAGAAGACGCCATATTCACCACTCGTGATTTTTTTTCACAAACTAACCTACATATTAAGTGTAGACAATTGAAAGGGGAATATTCTTCTGCATAAGAACAGAAGATTACTGGGTGCATAGATGCTGCATGTATTTTAGCAGAATCTTCAAAATGGAACTGAGACTGCCACTACACTAGTCAGCAACAGTTTCCACAAAAACACAGCAAACTTCTCAAAGACCAGTGCAAAGAGTCTTTTGAGGTCACTTCAAACCACCATTTCAACAAAAGATTTTCTGCTAAGACCAAAGGGTGTGGATGTTGTAGGGCTCTGTTCAGGATTTCCCACATCAAGCTCTTGTGAAAATAGCTGCAATTGTCTGAAAAAGACATGTCATAAGAGACTTCCTTTTATATACATATAGCAAGGTTCAACTGTAAAATTCCGTATCTGAATATAATAGTTCAAGAAACACAAAGAAATGCTTAGATTTTTAAATTAGTACCTTCTGAAGAGTATTTGCCAAATAATACCTTTTTCGTGACTCACTCACTCCTACTTATCTGTATGCTGCAATACTAAAACTTATTGAAATGTATTTTTATCGCACAGAGCTGCTGCATCCAGTGAGTATATCCCACACCTTACAAGCAAAACCAGTGCCAGCTGTAATACACACCTGAAGTCCAGACCAGATATTAAAGACCTGTATAAAGGAATTATATACTTAAATTAAATTTACATTGTTTGCCAAAGCCCTATATCATTACCTGTCCACAGTCAACATCTTGACCCTCTCCCAAAGAGCAACGTACAATCTTTTGTCACCTAATGAGCTCAGGTCCTGTAATCTTCCAACGTCCTTAGGATGCGAGGACATCTTATACACTTCAGTTTGTTTATGTTGCACAGAGGGAAGTTCAAGCTATGACGCTGATTAAGTAACCAACAGTTTAGAGGCAGCATGTAGTCTCTTCCTTGCAGCTGAAATAGGTTTCTTCTACCTCACTTGAATCAGGGTGTGACTTAAGTAAGTGCTGTTCCTTCCTTCTCTTTTCGCAAAGTCAACAAATCAGCTTAAAGGACGAGGAAAGAGGAACAGAGAACTGATCAAAAAGAAATGTCTCTGTCCCCACCTGCACTCTCCATGATATTTGAAAAGTCATGGCAGTCAGGGGAAGTCCCCAGTGACTGGAAAAAGGGAAACATTTTGCCCCTTTTCAAAAAGGGTAGAAAGGAAGACTCCGGGAACTACCGACCTGTCAGCCTCACCTCTGTGCCTGGCAAGATCATGGAACAGATCCTCCTAGAAGATATGCTAAGGCACATGGAGGCCAGGGAGGTGATTCGAGACACCCAGCATGGCTTCACCAAGGGCAAGTCCTGCCTCACCAACCTAGTGGCTTTCTATGATGGTGTAACAACAAGGGTGGACAAGGGAAAACCTATGGACGTCATCTATCTGGAGTTTTGTAAAGCCTTTGACACGGTCCCGCACAACATCCTTCTCTCCAAATTGGAGAGCCATGGATTTGATGGGTGGACTGTTTGGTGGATAAGGAATTGGTTGGATGGTCGCAGCCAAAGGGTAGTGGTCAATGGCTCAATGTCCGGATGGAGACTAGTGACGAGTGGAGTCCCTCAGGGGTCCGTACTGGGACTGGTGCTGTTCAATATATTTATCAATGACATGGACAGCGACATCGAGTGTACCCTCAGCAAGTTTGCAGATGACACCAAGCTGAGTGGTACGGTCGAGACACCAGAAGGACGGGATGCCATCCAGAGGGACCTGGACAAGCTGGACAGGTGGGCCTGTGTGAACCTCATGAGGTTCAACAAGGCCAAGTGCAAGGTCCTACACCTGGGTCGGGGTAAGGGCATTACAGTATTTCCTTAAAAGGAGCCATATTAATGGTAAAATAAATGGAAGCTATTAATACAACAGCAGTGTTAGTTTACAGATTTAAAAATAGGTTCATATAGAGCTCATGCATTTTAATGAAGCGGCATTCATTGGTGGCTCCTTTGTGGTAACAAGGTAGACTGGAGAATAGCAGCAGGCTAAATGTAAATGACAGCTTGGCACTTAATAGCGAATTGCCGAGTTGCATCTGAGGGGTAGTGGGTGTAAACTCCTTTCAAAATCTATTCACTGTTAAAAATTTGCATAGCAGAAAGGGTAGGTTTAGGCTAGATATAAGGAAGAAATTCTTTACAATGAGGGTGGTGAAACACTGGAACGGGTTGCCCAGAGAGGTAGTGGAAGGCCCGTCCCTGGAAACATTCAAGACCAGGTTGGACAGGGCTCTGAGCAACCTGATCTAGTTAGTGGTGTCCCTGCTCACTGCGGGGGGGTTGGACTAGATGATCTCTAGGGCTCCCTTCCGACCCAAAACTTTCTATGATTCTATGATAGGCAGCAACCAACCCACTGTCTCTCAAATATTAGTTCCACAAGCTTCTGTAAAAATCGTCATGAATGCTACGTTCAGTGGCAGGCTGTAACTTGTCAAGAGATTCTCAGCTGCTTTTTAGAAAATCATGAGATGTGAACTGGACTGATAAAGAGCATGTTGACTGAATTACTTAATGAAGCTTTTAATATGCAATTTAAATACACTCCATAAACCCACCAAATTTTTATTTTGAACATACAAGTGTATTCTGTTCACTGCGCTTTTTATTGAACATTTCACTCAATTGATTTAATACTCTAGATCAGTATCAATTCAGCATTCTTTGACTTTCCCAATTAAAGCAAACAGAAGAACTGCAATAATAACTATAGTTTCTTTTCAGCTACAGTATACATAATATGACTGACAAACTACGCAACCTAATATATAGGAGAAATATTCATAATTATAGACTTTGTCAATAGAAGAGTGCACCAACTGTGCATATATCTGACTTCCTAAAGAAACAAGAATGCTAATCAGTTCATTAGGGGCCTTTGGGTTGTGATGTTTAGCGACAGGATGTAATAGCCTGCTTGTCCATGGATCCTAATTGTACTCAGGATGAAAAATTCTTTCCAACAAAGCACCATCCTTACTTTTTCAGATTTCCTGCTGGTTTCTTTTCATGAGCTGCATGCTTTTCAAGACATCAGCATCATTCAGCTTTCCTTGTCAGAGGAATAAAAGTAAAGGCAGGTCCAGGCTTCATCATGCTGTGCAGGATTATCTAACCTTTACATCAAACCTTTTTTGCTTCGTAATTTATTAAAGTTCCTGTTTTTCTAAAAGTGAGCTTCTTTAATTAGCATGTTGACAGACATTACTAGAAACCATATGCAACCGTCTGCTGGGAGAGGAAGTAGGTGAGGGTAAACTACTCCTGTTCATAATAATTGCTGTTCAAAATATTAAATAGTCTAATACAATGAAGTATGTAGTATGGCTAGTGAGATGAATATATGGTCTTGATGCTCCTGTTTCTGACAGCAGTCAATATCCAATAATTAGGGAAAACAAGAAGGAAACTTGGCAAGTATAGCATGATAATTCAGCTCATGTTGTATTTAGTTCCTAATAGTCTGCATGTTCGTGATTTTTCTGAGCTGAAGGTACCTCTGGACTACCGTGTTCAATAGATCCAGATGTACTATCTTTAGCTAACTATCTAAGCCTTATAAGAAACTCATTTACATTTTCAGCCTCTACAACATCCTAAAAGTAAATGCTACAGTACAGTTGCCTGTTGTGTAAGAAAACATTTCCTTTAGCATGTTTTAACCTGCTGGACAGTATTTTACATGAGATGAACCCTGGTTATTTATAAGACACTATGAATATGTTCCTAACTTTCCTCCTGTACAGTGTACAAAATCACAAGTGTTTTCACTATATTTTCCGTACTTTTTTGATTTTGCACCTTCAGAGCCCTAATTTATTAAAACATCCCTAACGCAGAGACTATTAGATACTGCTGATCATTGTCACCACTCTGCCAGATCAGTAGCTATACAGTGTACTTTTGAAGATGAGGTGATGGAGCACTTAAGATAGGGGAGTATTAATGATTTTTATAGCAACCTATTTATGTTTTCTGCTTGTTCTTAACTACAATTGTTACCAATTTTCTAATATAATGGTTTTCCTCCAAATCTATTACTCCATAATTATTGAAGTTCACTTGCTCTTTTGTAAACATCTGCTAGTATCTCCCTTTTGACATGAGGGGTTTTTTGGGTTTGTTAAGATATTGACAAGAAACAATCATTCCACTTCTGACATAAGAAACTTCTTTCCTTGGAATTCTTTGTTAATACACCTTGTTGAAAGGTGTGTGGAAATTTAGTTATTCTCTACCAACTGTCCTACCTTTATCTGCATGCTGTAACAGATCTGCAAGGGATGGTTTGTCTTTACAAAACCCACGCTGATTCCTCCCCTATCATATTATATCTCCATCTATACAGTACTGTTCTGTTTTTATTCAGTATTCGTCATTTTCTTGGTAGAGAAACCAGACTTTCAGATTCTCCTTGGAGCCCTTTCAAAAACACTTAGGTGCTTCTTTTCAGCTTTGATTGCTCTGGTGTCTTGGGTTAATTTCTTTCATGTAAGAATCTGTAGTCCAATAGGTTTATATTTTACTTTGTTTTAAAATCTTTTCGAGTGTTTCGTGGTCACTGGCTACTAGGATTTATTGCTATTTATTTTGCATTTTCCTTTAAAAAAAAAAACACACTTCTCCTGACTCCTTCATTTGAGAACATCCTTACATTCAAAATATTGCCCAGTGGCATTAACTGCAGTTCTCCCTGGAGAAAACTGATGCAAAGAGCAAATTTACCTTTATGGCTGTGCCTTATCTTCTTGGCACACATTGACAATCTACATCTCCTCTGGCAGGATGCAGCTTTTGAGACGCTTGAAAAAGATGATATGTAGATCCTGCTTTGCATTTCCTAAGATGACCACCATCCTTTCTAAGCGATCAGCAAACTGCTCTAATGCTCTTCATATATATGGATGGAACTTCAACCCCTAGAACAGTTACGGTATTTATTGACAAGGTCCACCTATTTACTCTATCTGACTTTTATTATATTTTAACTTTTCATACTATTTCTCTACAAGTGTGACTTACTCTGTCTTAAACAAAATTCATAATGTTGTATTAGAGTATTCTCCTCACTCTCTGCCATCAGGTTTCAGAAATAACCAATATGTCAGTAACGCAAAGAGAAATTAGATATTCTACAATCTTAGACTGATTCTAATCAATCATTTTTTGATTTTAGATGTTTGATATTAGCATTGAAGTATATATTTATTCCTCAGCTTTTCCCATGCACTCCTTCTTAAGTGAAGCTAATTTTTTCAGGATATTCTTCACTCATTTTCAACTGACTTCTGCTAATTTCTTTCACATCTGTAGGTATGGGAGTTTTATAAACGCATCTCCAAAGAAACCTGTATATTAAATTATCTGATACTTCAAACCCCAGTCCTCAGCTTAAAAATGCAAAGGGTAATAGGGTATTTTAAGTGCCAGCATCAAGACTATTTTGGATTAAATGATGGCCGTAGGTCCCTTCCAACTGAAATAGTCTGTTGTATCCTAATGGATTAAGAAGAGTTTGTCCTTCTCATAGGTTAGATTTCTTAAGAATTGCTTCCCATTCCTAACTTCCCAGACTACGCATCTTTTTCTTAACCAAGCAGATTTTGCATAGTCATAGCAATATTTCTGAAAAAGCTATCATGGATATATTTTCCTCGAACTTTGTCACAATAGTTTATCTCTTGCCTTCAGGATCCCTCTCCTACTTCTCTTGTTATGCTACTGGCTTCTTCAGGGACAAAATTTCTGTTTTGTACTATAGAGACACCACGCTGGTGGGCTGCAACATATCTCTCAAAAACACACTGAGCTGGAAAAAAAAGCCAGCAACAACAGAACCAGACAGAACAACCTCACCAACAAAATACCCAACCCTAAAAAATCAGTAGCAACATCGAAAGGTTACAGATAACTCAGAGTCCAAAGGCAGCCTAAAGCTAAGCTGTAAACACTTTGGTTGCAGCTAGTCTACTGAAGAGGAAACCAGCCCTAATGCAGCAAGAACCTGTATATCCTCTTGGCCTCAGGGTCCCTTGCCATCTTTTATTTATAGTATGAGATTAGTCATGAGGACAGTCTCCTGAGTCTCCCTGCCTTTGTATGTAACAAAAAAGTCTTCCAGCTAGGTAATACCCTAACCATGACTGCAGAGGAAATTTTAACGTGTCTTTCTATCTGCTGGTATTTCTGCTTCCAGATTAGGCTCAGTGCAAAGCCTATATGACCACCATCTGGTAGGAAGGTTTAAGTGAAATAATCACAGATGTTTTCTTCTGCTTTAATTAAGTGTCTTCACGTCACAAGGCTTTCTTACGAGAGAGACAGGCAGTGAAGCTGGCTGCAGGATTTGGAAAAAATACCGAGAAAAGGAATTCTGGCAAAAACAAAACCAGAAAACAGTTCTCACATACTATGAATCTCATTTCTGAAATACGAGATTTTTGCATGAACAAAAACATTCACAGTGGTAATGTATACACTAGAAAACAAATAAACACAAGGTGACAGACATATTTTGAAAGACTTTCTCATGTAAAAAATCGTTTAGCACTTAAGTGAAGTGCTATTTCATAATATTCCTATTATAACTATTTTTCACTAAGTTGAGAAACTTACACACAGTGTAAAACCTGACAGTAAGCATTTTTCTCCTCATTCTATCCACTACAGATGAATCCTTAAATTAGACTGTTCATGTATTTAGTTTTTGAGGGAAAAAGAGTTATATTGTTCAAAAACAAATGCTACAGATTAGACAGCAGCTATGCAAAAAAAAAAAAAAGAGTTAATGCAGTTAAATTACTTCTGTTTTGTGGTTGGTTTTTTTTTTCAAAGAATACTCTAAAGGATATTGACATTTTTGCTACAAACTTATCGTGCTTATCTTCAGGAACTGGAAAAGTCTGCAAATCCTTCTCAAGCTGTTGGAGTTGCCTCTCCATATGCTTCAGGCTCTTCTCCAGGTTTTCTGCTGAGACTAAGAACATTCATTCTGTTAACACCTTAAACAAGCAACATTGTTTGTAAAACACATGAGTTAAAACCTTTTCCAAATCAGCATACTACATTTTTAATTCTGAAATAAAAGCGCACTGAACAAATTACAGTGTAAGATTAGGGGGTTACTCTAAAAATGTTCAGTTCCTCTCACGCAGTTGCCTTGGTCTGATTAGACGTATGCTGTTTGAACACCGCATTTTGTTTTAATTTTATGCCTAAGTTTTTTACACTGCACTTCATGGCCTGTTTTAAATAACCTGAGATATATATATGCCAGTCTGCCTCTTCTGATTAACCAAAGGACAAGTTCTGAAGCTACTCCAAGAACCGCAAAGCTTTCTTTAATCTCATTCTTTTAAAAGAGAAAATACGAACCTTTGTACGGAAGATCATGAAGAAAATAAGACCCTCAAAACATAGAGAAAATAGGGCTATTAAACACCTACACATGAAACCTAAGACTCAGTTCCCTAGTTTGAAAGCACAATGCCTGGCAAAAAACACAACAGAATTTGTCAGATTGAAAATGCTTAGAAGTATAAGCACTTGAGAGGGTGTGGAAGAGCAAAATAGGGACTTAGTAAAAAGAAAAGAGTAGCGATGAAACATCAAGCATTTATAGAAGGAGGTATAAAAAGTGCAAATTTTCTTTGTCAGAAAAAGAGATACACAACTTTCATCCATTTGAAGCAATGCATGGAAGTTGAACACTTGATCTGTAAATACTTGATTAAAATATCAAGACCGTAACAGTAACCTGAGGGTAACTCCTGTTAGCATGTATTCTATCTTGGATTTATATTAGTGGAATCAGATAAAACTTATTTCCTCATTGTTTATGAAGTAAATTTAGTATTTAAATACATTCGGTAGGAACAATATGTATAGATAAGAACATAGTCTGAGTTTTAGTCTCATGACTTGATTTTTTTTTCTTTACTTATTTCATTCATAATATACTGTACCTATAAAGATAAAGCTATCTTAAACTTCATCTAAAACACCCCTGTGGCCTATGACGTTACTAAGATCTGTAGTGCATCCATGATGTCGTCCACTGAGTGGACGGAAAATATACAATACACACACAATGAACATATCTTCCTCTCATAAAAGCCTGACAGTCCCGAAATGACTAGAGTAAAATGTTGCATAGCAACTATAATCCCTTTCATAGCAGAAAGGTTAACACAGCTATAAAATGATCAATGGCAACCTGTTAAAATGCTAACGTAACCTAAGAAAAAAAAACAAAACACCAAACAAATATGGAGACAATTCACTTGTCTAAAAGGAGTAAGAGAATATAAATGTATGTTGATATTATAATTTATAAGTCGTCATTTGGTTTATAAACACTATGTTTTAAACCCTCTGTTTACTCAAAAACACTGTTTTCTAATTGTATGTTAGACTTGGCAGATTTTCATTTAGTGATCGGTAAGCTCGAACCATCACCAGGTAGGTCAGTTGGCTTCAGCCATTAGGAAACTGCCTTGTTTGGGAAGCAAAGCTAAAATTAGAAGCTGACACTGTTGACTGCCGATGTGTCTCAGTCTTTACAGGTTCCAGCAACAAACATGATTTTAACATAAAGTCGTACTTCTGCTGTCATAAGAAGCCTTTGAGGGTAGGCACACACACAATTTTAAGACACTGACTTACTCAGGAAGCTGCTAAGAAAGACAGAATATAATACCTTGTGCTTAATGTAACTATCGATAGGACTCTTCACAATATAGTTTGTCTTGCACAAAAAGAGTCCACCACATAAAATTAAAGTGACGTACTTGCAAGATGTCAGAATGATAAGACTCAGCAAGTACATCGGTTTTAAAATAAAACAAAACAAAACAAAACAAATCCCGCTACATCAATTGCAGGTAGCAGCTGAGTAACAGCTACATTCTTTTATCCAGATAAAATAAAACAACAAAACTCAGTGCCTAGAGCTGATCAACGGGTTGTATACCAGAGAATTTTGAAGCATTGCTTCCAGCAAAGCAAATTTTTTATTTCTATTACTTCAGGTTTTTTGACCTTGAACAGTTACATATTTGATCAAGAATCTTTACATCTCTATCTTCTTCAGGAGGTTCTTCTCCTCTGTCATGATCTTAAGTTGTTTCTGAATATAAAAATTCAGCATTCCTTTAATTCCAGCAGTGCACAACTATTAATATATTTTCCTTTAAGACTGTATTTCTGGTGACAGCCTCCAGCAGAGGCTAGCTCACAATATGCTGGTATTCATTTGGTACTATTGCCTTTGCAACTTCCAATTTAGTGGAAATAGATGAAAAAAGAATCAAATCAGTAAATATAAGCAACTCTTCAACAAAAAGATTACATGAAATACCTGCGAACCCTCCCTCGTGCCCCTCTAGAAGACATGGTACAAAATCTGAAGGGACATAGAAGAATTGCAGAAGCAATTGCTGAACCATGACCCCTAATCCTGGGAGGATTCAGAATCACAGAATCACAGAATGTTAGGGGTTGGAAAGGACCTTTGTGGGTCATCTAGTCCAACCCTCCCACCAAAGCAGGGTCGCCTACAGCAGGCTGCACAGGACCTTGTCCAGGAGGGTCTTGAATATCTCCAGAGAAGGAGACTCCACAACCTCCCTGGGCAGCCTGTTCCAGTGCTCCGTCACCCTCAGAGGGAAGAAGTTCTTCCTCATGTTCAGACGGAACTTCCTGTGCTTCAGTTTGTGCCCATTGCCCCTTGTCCTGTCACTGGGCACCACTGAAAAGAGTTTGGCCCCATCCTCCTGACACCCACCCTTCAGATATTTGTAAGTATTTATTAGGTCCCCTCGCAGCCTTCTCTTCTTCAGGCTGAACAAGCCCAGCTCCCTCAGCCTCTCCTCGTAGGAGAGATGTTCCAGTCCCCTCACCATCCTCGTAGCCCTTTCAGATAGAAACCCAAGCCAAAGTGAAGTAAGCAACTCATGATAATTTGAGAACAAAGTCAAAGACTGGGGTTTTGAATGTTAGCGAGCCCACAAAACCAAGCCGTTTATTGAATACAATGGATATGTGCCTGAAGGCTCTCCCATTTACACTCTCTGAACTCTCATACCTCTTTTTCAAAAAGGCTCCTGATATTTTTATAGGCATTAATTAGATTTCCTCACCTTCTGCCTTTCAGAATTGACACAACATTGCTCTTCAAGTTTTCTCTCAGTTCAGGTTTGCTAATACCATGGTTATTCCAGAAGCCTCTTCACCTGCTTCTGTTTTAAAACCTTTCTGTATAGTATTTCGGATCATGACTCACAACCCTTTTAATGTTTGCATTACTATTTCTACAGTGCTACTGGAAATACATTATCTGATTATCTTACAATAAAATACCCTTTTTTTTTCTTGATCAAAGTTCTTATTACAGTATCAAGATGCATGATCTTCATACTATCGATTTTCGTTTCTGTTACTCTGCTTCCCCAGGATCATTCAGTGATGACAACATAATCCTCCCCTCAGCTGGCAAAGCTGTCTATCCCTTTGTCAGAAATGTTCATTGGTTCTACGCCACAATTTTATTTTTTTGCCACATTCCTTTTAGACAGTATTTTATGTTTCTTCCACTTCTTATTCTAATGAATATTCTCCCATTTTACATAATATTAAATACTTTCCTGAAGTCAACATAGACTTCCTGTGTCAAAAAAAAAGAAATTAATAGTCAAAGCTAGCAGATTAGTCTGCTATCAATAAATTCATTTTCATTTTATGCTACTCTCATTAACCTTCACATGTCTGATTATTCTTTCCTCTATAAAAACTTTCATATCGTTAAGGTCAGACAAAGAGATGTGTAATTGCCCAAATCATTCTTTTCTTCTCAGTTTCTTAAATATTCTGTAGTCACACAACATTACTATAGCCACAGCAAAACCTGGTAAAAAATATACTTACTAAACTTTTAGTTCCATATCTCAGAATGCAGAAATGGAAACTGGTATTTACAATATGAGAATACGGTACTCTGGATTTTTTTCTTTCAACAAATTTCTATGGAGACATTTTACTCCCCTCTTCCCCATCCCCAGATCATTATTCTTGCTTAAAATCAAAGCAAAATTTCATCTAGTTTTGAGACTATCCCTGTCTTACCTTAAATCTTACAAACAATTCTTCAAAGCAAAGCAATACTACTTGTGTGCTCCCTCATTTATATTGCTGTAAACCTGCCGTCACATTTTGCAACAGATATTTCAGCTGATATTTCATAGATCGTAGATGCTGCCCAACCTGCATGACAATTTTACGTGACGGTCACAATCTGCGTATCAAGAGAACCTTCCTGTTGGCGACAGATATTTCGCTTCCCTTGTAGTATTCTGGCCCCTACATTCTGAGAGGAGAGTGACAGTGAGAAGCTGATCTCTAGCCTGATGCAGAAAACTAGAACATATTATAAAGAAATATTTCTGAAAATATACTCTTGCTTTTGCCATTTGAACATAATACTGGATGGAGGAACAAAGTTTACTGAATAATTCTGCATAATTGCCCAACATATTACTGATGCAGCATTTAAAAGCAAAATTAAATGTCTAATTACAGCCTAAACCCCGCCCCCC